TTTTCAGCCTATACGTGTTGGGGCGTACCAACTGACATGGCACCAGATCCTCCTCATCCTCGCCGCCCCCTCTCGTACCCGCTCCCCCTCCTCTCCCTGACCACGCACCTCCGCCCTCCTCGCCACCCGCGTCCCGCGCCTCAAGTCCGAGGACCGACGAGGACCCCCATGTTCGACGACGACTGGCAAGGCCTCCGACATTCCCTGTACCCCGCGCAACGCCCAAGGGTGGCGCCCCGCCCGCCTGTGACGCTCCTCGTCGTCGCCGTCGGCGGCAACATCATCTTCGATCCGGCCAAAGGAGGAGCTCGCCGTCGCCGAGTCAGCCCTTGCCGTGTCTGTGACCGACGCAGGGCACCGCGAGCAGCGCCGCCGCCGCCGCCGCCGAGGGCAGGCAACTGCGCCTGCTGTCTGTGCGGACGGTCGACCCGCCGTCGCGACTCACGTCGTCGGGCGTGCCCAACTCGGAGAACCCGGCCACGAGCGTGTCGACGCCAGGGAAGAAGGCGGCTGTGCCGCTGCCGGGCGTGGTGGGCTACGGCGTGCAGCAAGGCGTGTGGAGGCCGCCGGTTGGGGGCACCAAGTTTGCCGTGCTGGAGGCCATGATTGGGAAGGTCCTGGAGAAGGGCGGTGTCGCGGATGAGGTGTTGGATGGACTCGAGGGCGTAGACCTGGTATAGACGATGGGATGCGTCTGGGCTGATTTCATTCTATGAGTTCTATGGGCGGGGCAGACAGGGCAAACAAAAACAGGGGGTGATAAACGTCTGAGCATTTGGGTCATGTTGAAGCTTTATTGTACAGGTACAGGGTATACTACAGATCCGCCACGCGCCACGGCGCCGGGGCTTCCTTTACATGACGACGTTTGTACATTTCGGTGACCCGATTTTCTCGCCTAGTTCCATTTATTTGGTGCCCTGCTTTTCCGCAGCGGCAATGGCCTCGGCCGCGAGGGCCTCGGCGCCGCGAGAGGGCGCCGCACTCTCGTCCTCGTCCTCGTTGCTCGACTTGAACCAGTTGGCGACTGGGTTGCTCTTGTCAAGACCGTGCACCTTTCTGTAGTAGGCTCGCTTAGCAACGTCGTCGGTATGGGCGGTGTGCTGGGCAATGACCTTCTCGTTGCGGTCGACCTCGTGCAGCTGCAGGACGCGGATCCAGGTGCCGATGAAATCGATGGGGCTGCTCCAGAACTCGGACGGCCTGGGGAGGAGGTGCTTGTAGGGTGACGTGTGGCTGAAGTTGAGGATGAAGGTGGAGAGAGCAAGAATCGATAGTGTGCCCTTGGAGATGTCAGTATCTGGACACATTGGGTGACGGAAT